CCGCTACAGTGCCCAGCGCCAGTGCGCTTCCTCCAGTGCTCTCGGCCGCTCCGGCAGTAATGGCGTTACTCTCATCCGGGCTCTGCCCGGGAGGGGCGGGGCACGCACCACGCACGGGCGTCGGCCACGCCCCTCCTGCTCTCCTAACGCTGCGACGTGACTCTCCTCTCCGAGGGGCGGGGCTCACTGACCGCACGCCTGCCTACCCGGGGCTCACGTGGCCAGAGCCCGGGAACTCGGGTTCCCGCGAGAGTCGGTGAGCTGCGGATGGCCGCTAGGCCTGCCCGCCCTCGCCCCAATTAATTAGCGTCGTCAGGGTCAGTTCATTTGAGTGGCGCGCTGCTTGAGCTGGGCGCGGTAGTTTTTGCATAATTTTAAGCAACAGTGACGTTAATGTGAAGTGCCTTCATGGGGCATTTAAAAGCAAAGGAAACAGGGAGGTAACGTTTTTAAAAAAACAGTTGTTTTAATTAAAAATATACAGTGGGAGATCGATCCCCACGTGCCCACACAATCTTCCATAGTAAATGGCAATTCTAAAAGTTTCTTAGGTGACAGCCCTGAGTTCTAACTTACCCAGAACAGTGTCCGGCGTATTGTATGTTGTAACTACGTACTGGATGTGGCAGTGGCTGTACAATTTTCTTTGTTTCCTCCTTATCTGTATTGGATTTTGGGTTCGTGCAGTTCATCTGAATGGACTGTAGTGTTGGACTGGACTGGTGTGAAATGTCGTATAGACGATGAAGTGAGCTAGCTTCTAGGTTTTCATAACTTTCACTTTTCCTTTTTTTCTTTTTTGGTTCTGGGAATCGAACTCAGCACCTTGCGCCAGATAGGCACTTCGCCACTGAGTAAGTCCCCGGCCCGGTCGCTTTTCCTTAGATCTCACTTACTCTCCTGAATATTTTCACGAACTGGATAGCGCGGTTGACGAAAGAGAAAGCAGACACATAGACCTTAGCTTGCAAACGGCAGATGCACGATTTAGGTGAGCAGCATGGTTTCAGACTCTACTGGCTGTTCTGCAACTGAGTGTCTCAGCTTCAGGTCTCCCTGTCCTCTTGCCCCTATCAAGGCAGCTGTGGATATAGACAACTAATTAGGTAGAAATATTATAAACTGTCACACAGAGCTGGGCCCTCAAAGTCAGTGCAGAGGATGAGAACAATGTAAAGCTGTGGCTGGAGGCCATCTGAAGAAGATTAAAGTCACAATGGCCAGATTTGCACACTTCCCCTAAGGGATGACTAGAAGCTTGAGGTTACTGGTACCACCCTTTTGAGGTTTCGCACATGGATGGACCATTTGTGGGGGGGTCATCCTTTACCCACCAAGACTAAAACCACTAAGACTACAGATTATCGACCAAGGTTAATGATGTCATCCACAAACCCTTGTTACTCTTGGATCAATATTGCCTGTGACTATATCTGTACTCTCATTGGTTGATTATAGTTTTTACCCACCTTTTACCCACCTGTTGTGACTTTGCCCTATAAAACTTCCTTTGAGGGCTGGGGATTTAGCTCAGTGGCACCGTGCCTGCCTCGCAAGCTCAAGGACCTGAGTTCAATCCTCAGTACTGGAAAAAAAATAATAATAAAATAAAACTTCCCTTGAGAAATGGACTGGGTGACAACCCACTTAGGACCCCTCCTGTCTCCCAGGAGCTATATTATTCCCCATTCTTAGTCCCCATTCCTATTCCCCAATAAATTTTTCTACTCCTAACCTCTGTTGTTCCTTAGGATTCATTCTTCGACTTTGGGGAACACCAACTTAGCATATCTGACAACTAGCAGAGTGGGAGTAACATCTCTTCCCCTATATCACTGTCAACTCAGGTGCAGGCCACCATGCCATCACTGCTGCTATTGCTGCCGCCACCACCACCCTACAGAAGTGGGGACACCCCCAGGAGGTCACCCTCCTGCCCCACTGCTGCCTCCATACCAAAGTGGCCAGGGCTGCTGACCACCATTTGCTGTGGGGGAACTTTGCTAAGTTCTCCTCTGAATCTCCATCCCCCGCCTTAAGGTGCTGTTTCCTGAGTTTCAGTGCAGACCCACTAAGGGTCCTGAAGGCTGACAGGATTGACAGGTGACAAACACATCCTTCTCTTTAACTTGCCACTGTCTCCTTGTACCAGAAACCGAAGGGACTGTTATAGAAGGCAATGTTAGAGACATCATGCTCAATAGCACCAAGGGCTCTCATGGATTGCCTTTCCCCTTCAGAGGACTGACTTCATGTGGGGAGACTGTCCCATCCCTCGGGTTAGAGATCCTAGAAGGTCCGACTTACCAGTTCCCAGAGAATATTTAGACCCAGTCTGAACCTCATAGAGTAACCCAGGTTAGGCTTAAGGTGGAACTTCCACTCCAGTGACCTCATCAGATGATTCCTAGCAGATTTTGAGACTTGAATTTTAGACAACCAGCTATAAAAGGTGCAGCAGGTGCCTATTCTGGATGTCACTGCTGAGATGAATTTAGGGAAAACAAAAACATAACAAACAGAAAACAGAGCCTTGGATGCTGTCCAATGAATATAAAAAGCAGAAGCATATATTTCAGGGAAGTAAAATGGTCACCCTGACCTGAATGCTCACAAATTCTGCATGATTATGATCCACATTCTCCCCGTACAAGCAGCTTTTCTCCTAATGTGTTCTCATCCTTAATTTGTGGAGTTGAGAATCCCATCTATTTAAGTCCCCCAGGCATTTCCCTGTGCTGTCTCGCTCTTACTTCTGTACCTATCTCTTTGACGGTATCTGTTTTCCAGCAGTGGCCCATGTCCTATTTCCTCTTACTCTGCCAGCTCAGGCAAACCGACAGTTGACCTCCACTTTTGTCATGCTATTCCTTTAACTCCGTAAGAGCAGAGCATC